GCTGTGTCTCCCTACTGTGCAACCACTGTTTTTAATTCTCTATTCAGTTTGAAATGGAAACCAGAGTTGTGGTGGAAAACTCCCCCCTCTGCCTCTGTGTTTTCTGTCACAGGGAAAGCCTCCATATTATCTAGCTTTAATATTGGGTCAGGCTGGGGAGTGGGTAAATTAGAAATCATGCCCCTCAGGGCAGGTCGCTGAATGGGAGAAGCTCTGAGGAAACTCTGGGGTTTGTTTCACTATTCATATTAGACCTTTCTATTTTTAGCCTTTTAATTGAGCTATCAAATCCTGACATTCTTTTTTCAGTTTAATCTGTAAAAGTTCAATTTGGTCTCTTAATTTCTTCCTAGCATCAAAAGTTAAACACACTGAAATGGGAGCCATACCGCTGTTACAGTATGGAGGAGGGCACACAGCTAGGGCGCAGCTAAGGGCTTTGTCTGCGCTGGCCACCTGGTGCAGGGTGGTCCTGCAGTGTGCTAAGCCTGGAGGGGATTGGGCATTAGCAATTACCGGGTCCTTTTGCTCCTGAGATAAAAGTTTATTAAGGCCTAATGGACAATTGCTTAATTTTTTCCTATACTCTTCGCGTCTTTAAAGTCTTTGCTAAACTTTCAATAAAAACCTCATGCTGGCTAATTTCTTGTCCCATAATCGCTATTTGCTTACCGAGGTTCAGTGGTGTGGCAGGCTCCCACATCGCCAGGTCTTCTATTTTCTTTTCCTTTTTCTACTTTGGGTCCATGAACATGTACCTCGCGAAGTCCTCTGTTCTTGAGTCCCACGTTGGGGCGCCACTTGTCCCAGCCTGCGGGTAAGTCCACGGAGACCCTAGAGGAGATGGGGAGAGGGGATGAAAGGGGACAAGAGACCAAGAGACGCAAAGAATGAGACAAGACAGAAGTCTGATCAAGTCTCATTTATTCAAGGAAAAAGTAACAAATATACAGGGTATTGGGGAGGAGGGAGTTGGGTTCTAAGTGTCAGCAGGTAACTTAGCAACACTGGCAAGATTGAAGGTTATTAAATTTTCAGATTTCCCATGTGTGGGCTCCTAAGCATAATCCTGAATAGCCCAACCAAGCTAAGCAAGGTGCTGCTTAACTACCAAACTTAACTCCTAGAGGGAGTTAAGGTGGTGCAGCCTGCAGATATAAAGTGGTAGCCGATTACAGGGCTTCCCACAAATGCTGTTTTAAAAAACATTATGTCTATTTTGGGGACACTATATCACAAACTATTGAAAAATACTTTAGAACATTTGTGTAGGAATTCGTTTCACATTATGTTTCTTCACTGGGAGACATGATACCTGTCTGGTTATTGTTTTTCACCCAAGAGAATCAAATATCTAATATTTTATCTAGGCCAAAATGAACCTGTTTTTGAAATGAACCTTGGTCAGTGAAGGAAATAGCATGCCAGGTGAATTTACTTGAAGACAGTGATTACAAAAATGTTTTTCAATGAAGTTGACTTGTAATCTGAAATCTAAGTAATGAACAGGAGACTACTATGAGAAAATAACAGAAAAAAAAACTATTTCTATAAAGGGAACAGCATGTGCAGAGTCTGAAGTGGAAAGAATTGCTCTTTTCCATGAGCAAAATGTGACTAGTGCTCAATAGACAAAAAGGAGAATAGAATGAGATGAGCTAGGAAAGATAATAAAAGCTAGGTCACCCAGGCTTTGCAGGTCATACTTGAGGACTTGCATTTTATTCTAAATGCTTTTGGAATACACTGACTTTTTAAAATGATACTTTAGTCCTTTGTGTTTAGGTTTGGATGGACAAGCCAGTCAAATACACCAGGTTGGGGAAAATCCTAGAAACACACATTAGAGTTGATGATGTGTTGCCTGAAATGTAGCTGCTTCAAGAAGCCTCCCTGAGTTTCCTTGACTTTATTTTGGTCCATAAAACTCACATGTCAGTATCTCAGATTACTTCCAAACTGTCTATCCTCTTGTTATACTTTGTTAATTTGCTGTATAAGTCTCTCCTCCCCACATTCCAAGTTCTTGATTCAGAATCAGGTTCCTCAAAGTTCAAATTGATGTCAAAACCTAAATTTTCCAAAAATGTTTGGTGAAAGAGTAAACATATAAAAGTTCAATGGTTTCCAGCAATCAGTATGCCTCCAACTCACTGGGAAGATTTAAAATATGGATGCTGTGGCCACACCTTCTCACACAACTCAGTGTATTTACTGTAGATACTGTACTCTCACATGATTGTGATATGAGGTCAGAGTGCCCAGGGGAATGGGCTGATTCTGAGTACCCGGAAGTGTTCCTGGGAGTGTTATGCTCACCCTTTCCCTATTCTATGCCTGTGGGTATATATCTTTACCATGTCATTGTTGAGAGCATAACACAAATACCTTGGTTATCTAGCATTTAAAGTTATTAAGAATAATGAATTTGGAAATATATAATAGGAGAATAGATGGATATACAACCCAATGACATCACTGATCTAGGTGATTAGACTACATTTTCTATGATGTACTTTGAATGAGCTTTCTCTCAGAAACAAAGGTAAATTAGTTTTTCACTAAACACCTGGAATTTGAGTGATTATTTTTTATCAACCATGGGTCCCAAAAATATCAAACAAAGGAGGTATTGAATTAGTTTTCTTTAGATATGATACCCAAAAATTCTAGGCATAGTACATTAATGGAAGTGTTTTGACATCAGAAAGAAAAAGTCTTTATCTAATTCTTTATAATGTGTATGTAATAATGTAATTTTAAGGCACCACTTCAAAATAGAAAATTGATGTTGGAGATAATAACAATAAACAAAAATTAACCAAACTGGGCTCAGTGCCCAGGAAAACTAGCCAGACTCTAAGAGCTAGGCAAGGAATAAACTAATAGAGAGAAAAAAAAAAGGCAGAAATGAATAGACTTTTAACCATCTCCATTTAAAATGATCACTTTACAGTGTGCCAGCTATTGAGAAATTCTGTGTGTGGACTTTCATCATTGTGGGTGGGGTTCCTGTCTGACTCATTTCAATGACTAACTTCCAATGGAATTTGTCTTCCTGCATTGTGAATCTTAAACATAGCAGGCATGTACAGTGATTCTGCATTGTGTTTGAGCTTTTATAATGCTGTGAACTACTTGGAAACAAATGGACCAGAAATAAACATAGTAGTTAATATATCTTTAACTAAAGTTGGGAGGAAAACCTTCAGGTTTCCCAGGATACTTAAATGTCATATGATTTACATAAATGGGAGGAAATCGTCTTTGTGTGTTTAGGGGTGTGTGTCTAATACAGGAACACATGTTTTCCTGTTATTGAAAAGTATTCTTTAATCTTTTGAGCACATTTTAGGGCCTGCATATATTCCAGGTATGTTGTTTCCTTTAACATGAAAACACAAGAGCAGGATACAACTACCAGAGACACCTAATAGATCTCCCCCTTGTGTCATAGAAGACACAAAAGTAAATGAATCAAATTAAATAGACAGAGCCCTGACCACATTGGTAAGACTGGCTGCCTTATTTAGAGGAATGGTTATCCCCAAGCCTGGGAAGAGCGACTGTTTGTGATAGGAGACAAAAATATCCTCTGATCATAGATATGAAAGGGATGATAACTTTTAACCAAAAAAGTAAGTATAACTGATGTTAGACATTGGAGGCTTTTAACCAAATACAACCAAAACGATGGGCAAGAATCTAAAGCACTAATATTTTTGAGGGTATTTGTGTTTTTTTTTTTTTTTTTTTTTTTTTGTTTTCTGCATTCTGATTAGGAATGAAAGAAGATTGTGCTGGTCATAAAGACAGTCTTCAGGGCTGAGATTACAAGGTAACACCATCTGTAAGAGCAGAGTGGCTACCTTTCCTTTTCTTTTTTTGGTCTCTGCTCTCCAATTGCAGTGACCCCAGCCACCAAAGCTGTGAATCAGCTATCGAATGCATGAACCATAGTTTTGTTATCACCAAAGATGACTGGAGCAAGTGCCTTCTGTTCCTCATCCCACAAGAGTTCTTTTCCCATCTGCTGAGCATCTATATAGTTACTAAAAACAAAGAAATAATATGCAGTAGAGGCCTACTCTTCCATAAGGCAGTGACTAGAACTGAATCCTTTGTCTCTAGTGGTGCATTCTATTTCCCCTAGTTCTTTCATGTGATCACTGCTCTTTAATCACACGAACTGCACGTCCAGGACTCACGAGGAGCTTTGAGGAAGGCCCTTTTAAGACCCTAATTTACTCTCTCACCATCCTTGAGTCTTTAAGTCACAAAGTAAGTAAACATAGAAATGTACAGATGCTTCTCTCCTGGTATTTGAGAGGTGCTACTACCTGGGGCTACCCCGTTATCCTTGTCTTACAGGTATAATGGTGACCAGAATTAGTATGTGGGATATGTGCCCACGATGCCAAATACATCCATAATCAAATGTAAACTAGATAACAAACTGCATAACCTTGCAAAGTCAAATAGTTCATTTTAAAATATTTGTTTGTTTATGTGTTTGGGGTAAGGGATTATTGATTATCACTGAGTACTTACACTGGATTGTAAAACTGGAAACAGTCACTGGCAGTCCTTGAGGAAGAAGGAACTTTAATTTCCTTTAACATTCATCCTTTTTAATATTTCCTTTCTGATGCCTGTCAGCCTACTATGCTTCTTTCCCTACAATATGTAATTTATCACTTATAGTTTCTTTAAAGATGCTTGGGTATTATTCGTTCAGTTAAGTCATTCAATTGGATGAAGACTTAAAGCAGCAGCTCTCGCAGTAATCGTATAAACTGCTTGAGAAGATATATTGTGATTTTATTTCTTTTGTATTCACTCACCCCTCACCAGCGGCACACATTGATTAATTAATTAATTAATTAATTCATATTTTCCCACTCTCCTGCTCTCTTTTACGGGCATATGCACAGTAGGTATTGAGAGAGGAAGTAAACCAACCTGCAAGCCCACTAATCTGATGGATCATTTCTTGACAGTGACAAACAAGAAACCCACACAGGCATCTATCACAAAGGTCAAGCAGTTTGAAGGTTCCACGTCATTCGTTCGGAGATCACAGTGGATGCTGGAGCAGCTTCGCCAGGTCAATGGTATCGATCCTAATCGGGTGAGTGAATTATCCAATGCTGAACAAAGAATTTTCTTCACAAGATGACTCTCTGATTGACCTTGGTAGTGATGGTGGTTCTTTGAATCATACTTGAGGCTATTTCTTTATTTTAGTTATATGATGCCTGTTTTCTTCCTACAGAAAATTACAAATCTTTTAATTATGTTTGATAAAGGAACCTAAGGTGATGTATATGGACAAAATACTGCCTCCAATAATGTTTATCAACAAAAGTCAGGGTTCAGATAACCATGTGCATTGTTGTTAATATTAAAACACCGTATTCATGAGAGATTCATTTATCCTTCAATGCCACTAATGAAGATCATTCTACCAAAAATCAAGTAAATTAATGACATCTTAAAAATCATGTGTTAGAATTCTATTGGATTTTATAAGAAAGACATTTTAAAATGTAGTTATCAATTTGAAGAAACCAATCCCTCATTCCCTTTTGGGTTTTCTGCCTTTCTCTCTTTTTCTCTCTCTTTCTCTCTGACTCTCTGTCTCTCTCTGCATCTCTGTCTCTGTGTCTCTGTCTCTGTCTCTCTCTCGCTCTCTGTCTCTCCTCTTTGCTCCCTCCCTCTCAGGATCATCATCACCAATTCAATGATGAGGAAAAATAAAATGTAAATCATTATCATATACTTCAATAATAAAAAGGAATCTTTTTCTATGAGGCAAGATTAATAGTCATTGCTAAGAATGTCAATGAATCTTTTTTTCTAAGTACTCGGAAAGATAATGCACGGTATGAATTCTAATGCAGTTAAGCTGTCTTAACTTCTTTCTAGCCTCCAAAGGACACCTATAAATACTGTAATATTTGGAGTTTTCCTGATAAACAAATTTTTAAATTGAGCTTTACTGTTACCATTGTCGTTCAGTGTTTATGCACATTTCAATGGGAAAAGCTGGATGTAGTACTTTCAATAGATTGAAATTAGTATTTATTTCAATATCTTTTCCAGGATTCTGCAGAATTTGATTTGTTGTTTGAAAATGCTTTTGACCAGTGGGTAGCCAGCACAGCCTCAGAGAAGTGTACCTTCTTCCAGATCCTTCACCACACCTGCCAGAGGTACCTCACAGACAGGAAGCCAGAGTTTATTAACTGCCAGTCCAAAATTATGGGAGGTAAGTGAACATTTCTAAGGTATTAGTCATTTTCTTTCTTTAAACCCATAAGTGAAATGAATCAAATTTACATGTGTAGATCAATCAAACTTACATGTGTAAATTGTCTCCCTAGTGTAAAAAAAAAAAAAAAAAAAAACTAAAAGAATAGTAAGAGCCAAAATGTACAGCAGATATTGTGAAAATGAAAGGGAAAAAAAGTACTCAAGAGGAAAGAACAACTGGGATGGGAAAAGGAGAAAAGAAGGGGAAAGTTTGTATGTGTGTAAGTATACATATATATGTGTGCGTGTATATACATATATACACACAAAATAGATAACTATACTACTTATAACTGTAGGTTAATCAAAAAGAACAGTTTGTACTTTATTTGATCATTTTTCATGCCTAACTCTTCTAATTGAAATAGCTGCTTCTAAGATAACATTATGCAATATATTAACTATTGTTAATTCCCTACTATTTTTAAAAATTATGTATTGTTTCTATTCTTTTTTGGTTTAGTTTAGTTTTTAAAATAAAAAATAAATATATGAAATAATATCAGGGTGTCTTAAAACTAAAAAATAAAATAGAAAAAAAATATTCAGTAACATAGTTAGAAACAAAAAATCAAAATGTTTAAAACTAGACAGCATTGCAACCATTCTAGGAAGTTACTTGTATGCTAAGTCTAGACACAGTGGCATGTTTTCACTCACAGGGGAAAGGTAGTTTTTTTTAATAAGAAGTAGTCATTTAGCTGATATTACTTGTCCTGTGCGAACAATTCTACCACTTTACTAGAAAAATCTTTCAGTTTGGTTTCATTACTACCTTTTTAATAATGTCATTGCAGAGCACTGTTTTCCGGGTTACTTTTTCCTATTATTTCTAAAGATATTTTATAAATACTAATATAAAAATGTCAAATGCTGTCCCTTTATTTCAAATAACTGCCAGTCTCAAGTTTATCCTTACGTGACGCTCAGAGATCAGTTAGAATGAGTAGTAAAAACCTGTGTAATACAGTGGGGACCATCATGGGCACCATAATGATTTTTACACTTTTGGAAAATCTTTTTAGGTACTTTAAATTGCTAAAAGTATAAAAGCCTTGCCAATCACTCTAAGTAGGGAAGATGTTTTTATATCATTGGTCTTTTTGCTTGCCTATTTTCTTGTTTTTCAAATACATTTTTTAAATGCACTGACTTTAACTTAAGCAAACTTTTAACCAAGGTTACATTAGAAACATTGTATCTTCTCTTTTATATTAATATGAGATAGAATGCAGTACCAATGTGCACACTGTTGCTTTGCTAAACCTAGTCTGCTAGACCTTGGATGGAGAAGGTATTGTGCAGTTCTTCATTATTGTTTGTGAAATTATTTTACATTTTAAGAACCTTGAAAAGTCATTCTCAGGCTTTTATTATAGCTTCTTAATTTAGTCTCAGAAAAACAGGAGGTGATTAGTTGTGTGTATTTACTTCAAAGTGAAACAATGTATGGTACAAAACAGATTTTTTACACTAAAGAAAATATTAAACTGAGTTATTTCTAAAATACATTGAGATTTGGCTCTCTGGTTTGTCCATGTCACCACTGATCTTCAAAAAAAAAACCTACTTTGAAACTTCAGCTTTAAAAATTTGGTAAAGATTTGAAGGACACCTGGCATAGGAGCACTTGTGGTTCTTTTCAGTGATTAAAAAGTTGGCCAGAGATTTGGCTAGAATTTTCTCATGTTTTATTGGATGGAATATTCTTTTCTAGTCTAATGTTAGTTACTTTCTTGATCTTAAGTTTCTACCAAGAAACATTTTTTCTCATTGTCAGTGTGAGCAGTAATTTACATGAATAGCATCTCTAAAATTACTTTGCCATTATGGATTTGATGTTTGGTGGTTTTAATTTTTTTATTTTAAAGAAAATAAATCAAAACAAAACAGAGCAGAACAAAGCAAATCAGTACAGAACAATGCAAACAACATACAACTTCAAAGCAAGACAATAGTATATCAACAGTGGCTACCATAATGTCTCTTGCTTTCTTTTAAATAGTTGACCATACCTTCACACACAATAATATCAAACATAACAGAATAGTATAAAACCAATCAAATCAATAAAAGCATTACAGGACTTCAAAACCAGATAATAGGAAAACAACAATGGTTACTATAGTATCTCATTTTCTTCAAAAAAGTTGTCTATACTGCCACACATAATAAACTTAAAACACAGCAGAATAGAACCAATCAAAACAAAAGAATTCAAACATGATACGACTTCAAAACAAGATGATAGTAAATCATCAATGCCTGCCATAATGTATTGTTTTCTTCAGAATAACTGTTCATACCATCACAAATAATAAAATCAAACAAAAAAAGCAATTAAAGAAATGAATGAAAGCATTATAAGACTTCAAAACAAGATAATAGGAAACCAACTATGATTAACATAATGCATTCCATGATGTTCAAAATAGCTACCGCTACCATCCGACAGAGTAAAATCTAACAAAACAAGACAGAACAAAGGCAAACCTAACAAAACTGTGAAAACAGTGTAAGAGTTCAAGACAAGACAATAAGAAATTAACAGTAGTGAGCACTTTTCACTCCTGGGTGTTTTCCCTATCACTCTTACAGTAACTATTTTACTTTTAGATCTCATTAACTCCTTCTGTTTCTTATGCTAGGGTTCATGCATATGAGTTCAAACTGAAACTTGAAACATGAAAATGATCTCCAGTGCATCCATTTATCTACAAGAGCCTCAAGATTATTCTAGTTTATAACTGTGTAACTTTCTGGTTGATGAGAAGTTTACCCTTACTTTTGTTCTGATCTCCTGTCACATGATTCATAGATTTTAGTCTATGAATTTCCTTTCCAGTTAAATGTGTTTCTTGTGTACAGTGTATCTGTGGGTCTTGTTTCTTGAACCACTCTCCCTGTGTTTCTTTTTATTGGTAATTGAAGGCCATCTACATTAATAGTTACAACCAGCATACATTGGTTTCTCTCTGCAATGCTGTCTTCCTGCTGTTCACTGCTTTTTCACTGATACATATCACTCTTAGATTATGCTTCTTTGTATCATGTTCTAGCTGTTGAATTATTATCTCCTGATTCTTTGTTATTTTTAAGAGATCTTACTTTTCACAGTCACTAGCTGCAATCCTATCTTCAAGTCTGAAAATCTATCTTCAGTCTCTTTCAAATGGTTTTACCAGCTTTTGATTGACTTTTTAATTTCCTGGATATCTCTTTGAATCTGTTTCATGCATTGTAATTCCTTTCTATATTGTTCATTCAAGATTTCTATTATTTTCCTATGCTCCTCTTTTTTTAAAACCTGTGTCTTCTTTAGATAAGTTGAGCAATTCTGTCATTATGTTTGTGATGTCTACTTTACCTGAGACATTATTTCTGATTTTATTGCCTTTGCAACTTCACGAAGTTTCTTTACTTAAGTTATTATCCTCTCAGAGATTTCAGGTGTGTGACTTCCATTTTCTTCCATGACTATATCTCTCAGACTTGTTCTGTGTGGGCTGGAGGTCTGACATTGCCTTTTGCTCCTTTGTTTTCACGTGCTTCTGGGTTCCTCCCAACAAGCTGATTGTGCAGCCTCAGACACTTTGCACTTTGGCTGCCCTTCCGTGATTAGGGGGAATTGGATAGGCACCTGGGATCCTTGACCCCAGATTTATATGGAGGTAGCAGGGTGTGGGGCAGGCTTCTCCAGACTTGTACAGCTACACTGGAGCATCCCTCAATGACCAGGTATGCATGTAGGTGGGGTTGTTTCTCAGCCTGCATGTCTATACTGAGACTCCTGTGATGGTGGCAGGCATATAGGGGTGTGTTTGCCTGATTCTCCCAGTTGGTGATGGCTGCCTGAAGGAACCAAGGGCCTCCAATGGTGGCCTACAAATGCATGGGGCTTGCCTGACTGTGTGTCCCTGCTCCTGCTGGCTGCCGGCAGGAAGGAGTCTTCCAGTGGTAGCATGTGGCAGGCTGAAGCAGATCTGCTGGCTCTCTCTGCCCACACTAGCTGCCTACAGGAAGGAGCCTTCTGGTGGTGGTGCCTGGCAGGGGGAGGTGGATCTGTCTGGCTCTCTCTGTCCACACTGACTACCCGCAGGCAGGAGCCTAACAGCAGTGGCTGGCAGGCAGAGTTGAATCTGCTGGCTCTCTCTGCCCATGCTGACTGCTTGCAGGAAAGAGCCTTCTGGTGGCAACAGCTGGCAGGCAGAGGTGAATCTGCTCCTGATTTGATGTTTTTAATGCTCTTGGAAAAAGAGCCTTCCTGTGCATTCCACTTCATGGTCCATCCTAAGAACAGAATGATCTTAGGATGCCAACCCAGTACCATAGGGACTTGAGTACTTCTAACATGTTCCTTATTAACATTCTTGGATATCCTCAGAGCTTTCCACAAGTCATATCCAGCTGTTTCTGTGAGTCATTGACCCAGTGCCTCAGAGATTTCCATTACCTGATGAACTTCAAATGGTGCAGAGTTGAGGTGGAAACTCATAATGTTAAATTATGTAATTGGAGAACACTAAAGATTGCTTTCCTATAGCTAGAAAAAAGGGTAAGTTAATGAGATAAATTACCAGAATTAGTTTTTCCTATTGTGACTACAGACATGTGATTTTGTTGTTTCGTTTTGTTTTCTTTGTTTTTGTTTCATCTTCACTGGACCAGTTTCCCAAATGTAACATATGGATGCTAGAGGAAATAGTATCTTTAGCCTCTTTTAGTTCTAGCATTTTTAGTATATGTAATTCTTAAGTTAGTATTTTATTGTATGGGTTTATTGTTTCTTAAGAAATTAAACAAAGAGTTTAGTGCAGTTAAATATAGACTGGTCCTGGATTTCTAAGAAGGGAAAAGAAGAAAGCTAATAGTAACCATGTTGCAATTTATTGACAGCGCATGTCTTATGAATGCAATTGTCTTTTTTAAATAGTTGCTTAGCCTTGGCAACAGTTG